GCCTTTGTCCCCTCTCCCAGCTCCCTCCTCATGCGCGCGGTGCCCGCAGGCGAGTCCACCACCACCGTGTCCCCCTACGTGCCCGGCGGCGTGAGCGACGGCCAGTGGCACCGGGTGCAGCTGCACTACTACAACAAGGTGGGTGGGAGGTGGGATGGGGGGAGAAGTCACCCGGAGGGGGGAATGGGGGACAGAGGTGGGGACAGAGGAGTGGCGAGAGGGAGGGACGGAGGGGTGGATGGGGAAGGAGGAGAGGTGGGAAGAGGGAGGCGGGAGGAGAGCAGGGATGGGCGGTTGGATGGTGGAGGACGGAGGAAGGGCAGCTGGATAGAGAGAGAAGGAGGCAGGAAAGGATGGATGGGCTGAGGGGGTCGGGATGGAGGGATGAGGTTAGAGGGAGGCTGGATGGGGGGGGAGATGGAGGAGTTTGTGGATAGAGGGATGGGGAAGTGGAGGGAGGAATGGAGCAGATGCAGGAGTGGAGAGAGGGAAGGATGGAGGGGAGCAGGGAGGGAGGTTCAGATGGGTGGGAGGGGATGGAGGGAAGGAGGAATAGAAGGATAGGAAATGGGGAGGTGGAAGGGAGCAGGGCTGGAGGGAGGACTGGAAGGAGGGATGGATGGAAGTAGATGGAGAGAGGGAGGGAATAGGTGGATGGAAGTAGATGGAGAGAGGGAGGGAGGTGGGAAGGGAGGCCCCCATGGAGGATAGCGGGAGAGCTGGAAGGAGGGATGGATGGGGTGGATGAAAGCATGGAGGGATGGAGCAGGGAGTCGGAGGCAGCGGGGCCAGGTTGCAGGGACAGGGTGGAGTTTTGGGTGGCCGCTGGAGCAGCGGGCGGCAGAGATGGGACGGAGGCCCGGGCGGAGGCCCTGGGGTCTCACTCCTGCCTGCCGGGGCCTGCAGCCCGTGCTGGGGAAGTCGGGGCTGCCGCAGGGCCCCTCGGAGCAGAAGGTGGCCGTGGTGACGGTGGACGACTGCGACACGGGCATGGCCCTCAAGTTTGGCGCCACGCTGGGCAACTACTCGTGCGCCGCGCAGGGCACCCAGTCGGGCACCAAGAAGTGAGGCCG